CTGGCATTTACAGCATGTTTGCTAATTTTGCGTGGGTGAGGTACGTTCCACCATGACCCTCTTCTATTTAGGTTCGTGACAGCCCACCCCTGATATTTAACGGAACATAGTTGGTAGGCGGGGGGGGCGGCTATTACTAGTAGGGGCTTATCTGTGCTTTTTGTGGTGCCTCTTCTCCATCCCGCAATAGGTCGGACATGCCAGGGGGGTTTAGGGAGGTTTTAGGTTTGGCGGCCTCCCGGAGCCCAAAAAGTAGGCCGAGGGGCCCCTACTTTTTGGAAGCCCCAATATGACTACCAGTCGGGTAGTTTTGGAAAAGGGTAGCCTAAGGGACCCGACGGATATCCGGGGATTGGAAGGAAACTCAAAAGGCGTTGCCCTTACAGGATTGAGCCGGATTGTTGATAAAAGCTCTCATATTGTTCCGAGGTGCATTTGAGGCACATGATACCATAAGCTATTTGAATGTTACGGAATGTTGAACAGAAAATGCCAAATCAAACTATTCAGGCCCAAACTATTCAGGCCCCTACAGCAACTCCGTGACTTTGTGAAACTAGGCCTAGCCAGGCCTCTAAAGGCCATGAAACGCTGGGTCCAATGCAGGAGTCGTGGCTTCAAAGCCCTATCACACACTTCAGTCCCAATTTGCCATGCATTCCCGGGTTGGCTTCATATAGCAGTTTCCATTTTCTTTTCCATTATCCCCATATATAATAACCCCAATGTATACCCCATAATCCCTTCATAACCCATGATAGTAGTTTAAGGCTCTTAGAGTCCGCTTCATCTGCGCTTTGCGGCCAACATCTTCCGGAACAGACCATCCTTCCGCTCCTTTGCAGACAGACAGGTATCCATCCAGCAGTCCGGCTTGAATCACTGCAGCTGATAAAAGATGCTGCGTTACTGCAAGATTGCTGTGTGCGTTCAATAGGTTGCAGGACCTTGCTTGAAAATCCAATCGGATCCAAACCCGCCTTAGATCCTCCTGATTCCAATAATACAAAACCAAAAGTACACACCACTGCACGGACACTTTGAGGTTGCTCCAACAAGGACAGTTTCAGGTATCCCCATGCTACGGGCAGCTGTAGGACCATGACCATGGTTCCTGCAAAGACCTTACAAGCTGATTCAGTCTGGGTCTTCTTAAATCCCTCTCGAAAAACCATCAAACCTAAGCTCTACACCTGGGAATGGCTAGTTATCAGGAAGCGCCAAGCTGCCGTCATCTCCTTCACTGTGCCTTGCTCTGCAACCGCACCAGCCTGCTCAACTCACGGCGAGACGTGAGGGGCATTTTTAGTAGTACGGGTTCCAAATGCCTTCAGATCTTCTTGAACGTCCTTGTGTCCTGCTTGACCTTAACTAAGTAGACCATGTTTTGCCTTTAAGAAGTGGAGCTTGTAAGCTCTCTGTGCATGCCAGACATCGGCTCAACCAGCGCGGCTGCTGCCAGCATACAACATCAACAGTCAGAAGCCGTACCCAAAGGCTGCACATGCAGAGAACCGTGCTCTGCCCTGGGTCACTTGTGGCCTCCAGAACGACAATCTTGTCAAAGTCCAGGATGGTCTCCAGCCTTGAATACACGGAGGGTCTTGAAATGGTCTTCAGTTGGGAAGAGCATTAGGGAATATAATATAGCCCCTAGATAGCCCCTATATATTCTATATTCCCATGTTACCTACTAACAATCAGAAAAATGCAGTCTCAGAGGTGCTGCTCGAGAGAAAGTGAGGCACGGGCCGGTGCGCCACTGCAATCAAAGTGGAGCCTGGCAAAGATTGCGAAACATCTCAAGCTCTCTGGAACTTACAGACTGCTGTGTGGCTCAGAATGTCTAGCTGGAATTTTGGGGTCTGTGTCCCACCACTCCAATGTCTGTGTGCTGGATCCAGTTTCCCTGACCAGTTTGAGGGACCTGGAAAGGCCGAATTGATCGTCTCCTGCCAGGGACGGCAGGGTTTAGGGTTTCAAGGGTAGGCTTGAGGGCATCTTGATGGCTTTATAGAAGTCATATGGGTAATTAAAAATTCACCTACTCCTGGTTTGGCGCGCAGGCCAGCGCAATCATCAAGACTATGAGACAAGTACCATCGCAGTGTCGTGGCGATGGCATGTGCCAACAGCCAGGCATTCAGCAAAAACTTTCGCTGCAACAAATACGTAGGGGTTCCTTAAAGTGTTAAGTCTTGTCTGGGATCCCTGTGTTAATTAATGCAACAGGGAAACTGATATTTGGGGGACTATAGGAGTAATAGGAGAGATCCCGATTTGGGGAAACATCCTGATAACCAGGCGTAGTTTGAATTGGGTTTAGAATGTTGGGTAGTCTGGCGTGCGACTGCGAGGGGCCATGCTACTTCAGGGTGGAACTGTCACACCTGGGATGTTGTTGTCTTCTGCCCCGAAGAACTAAGACTGGTCAGACCACCTACTGGTTAATAATATGAATATGGAGAATAATAGTACTAATCGAATAGTCATACTAGTAGTAATGGTAACAATAGTACTACTAGTAACAATGTTGAGCAGCATGAGATCTGAGTCACACAGGGTTGACTCAGAAACAGTGAGGTCGGTGACTGAGTCAAGAAGGACAAGAATGCCAGGTATGCTGATAGTGTAGTAGACCTGCATACAAATGGCATCATATTTAGGCATGCCCATACAGTCATACAGGGCTTGCATAAGAAGGATTACTCCTAGAATTTCAGGCCCGTACAGAAAACGGAGGCGTTATCTGACTAGAATGGCTTCTGGGGAAGCTATAGGGGCTTGAATTACAATCAGAACATAGACCCAGAAGCTCCCCCAAACACTGAACCCAATGACCCAATAACCCTGAACCCTAAACAGTCCTGAACTTTCTCTTGCGTGCTGGGATCGATCGCCGAGGTCGCTTCATCTAGGAGCCTTTCTTCCAAGATTTTGGGGTTTCAAAACACTAGGGACACCTGCTTGGGGGTCCCCCTCCTTTGGATTATGGTACAATAATGTGCAGTCTATGTTGGGGTCCCCTATTTTTGAAAACTACCATTTAATGTTCAAGGGGTTTCTGATACGATTCGTGAGTTTGGCGATGCTTCGGAGTGGCAGCCACTAACGAGCCGCGCGTCATCGACAAAGTCTCAACCCTGTACAAAACCCAATTTCCATTGCACTTGATTCTCCATTATTGGATTAACATAAAACATCTAGCGCATAGAGCTTGAGCTCTCGAGACCAAATGTCCCAAGTCTCCCAGATAAAATCTAACTTGGTCGACCGGAGCTCCAGAACAGTGTATCCCTGTCCCTGGCCTTTAGGCCTTAAGCTATTCCTCAGCAACGGTGCCCAGATTGTGATGTTTGCTTGGTTGCTTTTTCGCTCTCATGGCAGCCTTCGCGGCG